TAACCCCCTTGAGTATTTCCTACAATGGAGGTCTTCTGGTGATAGATCCCCTTAACTTCTGTTTGTCTGGAAAAGTCTTTATTTGTCCTTCATATTTAAAGGATACTTTTGCTGCATATATTTTTCTTGGCTAGTAATTTCTCTCTTCCCATATCCTCTAGGTGCCCTTTAGACCACTGTTTTTTCTCTATGCCCCATGGCAGGCAAGTTGGCACTGGCCCCTCAGTAATTCCTCGCTACTGTAGTTCTGTGTATTGGGGGTGGGATTATTACAATACTGTGTCTCCATGTCCCATACTCATTTCTATGTGGTCTCTTTTTTTGTGGGTGTGTGGGTGTGTGTGTGTGTGTGTATGTGTGCAGAAGCTGTCCAATCAGTCCTCTGAATTCTTCAGGGGGAATTGCTCTATCTGTAAGTATAGATTTGATGTGTTCATGGGAAGAGGTGTGTTCAGGGCCTTCTTATTCTACCATCTTGACCCTTCCTCTTGTTACAATTATTGCCTTTTGTTTTCAGCTTAAAGGCCCTTTAACATTTTGAATAAGGCTGGTTTTGTGATGATAAACTCCTTTAGCTTTTGCTTGTCTGGAAAGCTATCTCTCCTTCCATTTAAAATGATAACTTGGCTGGGTAGAATATTCTTGGTTGGAAATTGTTTCTTTGAGCACTTTGAAAATACTGTATTACTCCCTTGTGGCCTGCAAAGTTTCTACTTAAATATCTCCTGAAAATCTAATGGGGGTCCTGTTGTACATAATTTTGCTGCTTTTAAAATTCTCTCCTCATCTTTAACTTTTGACATTTTAATTATAATGTACTTGGTGTGGGCCTCTTTGCTTTCATCTTATTTGGAACTTTCTGTGCTTCCTGGATTTAGATGTCTATTTCCTTCTCAAGGTTAAAGTTTTCAGATATTATTTCTTTAAAAAGATTTTTTTTTGCCCCTTTCTATTCTCTTTCTGGAACTCCTATAATGTGAATATTCATGTGTTTGATGTTGTCCCATACGTCACTTAACTATCTTCACTTATTTTCATTCTTTTTTCTTTTGCTGCTCTTATTTGGTGAGTTCCATTGCCTTGTCTCTGAGTTCACTGATGCTTTCTTCTGCTTAATCTAGTCGCTTTGAACCTCTCTAGTGTTTTTTTCAGTTCAGTTTTGTATTCTTCAGCTCTTTGACTTCAATTTGGTGATTTCTTATACTCTCTATCTCTTTGTTGAAGTTCTCAATGGGTTCATCCACTCTTCTCCTGAGTTCAGTGAGCATCTTTATGACCATTACTTTGAACTCTTTATCAGGTAAATTACTTATCTATATTTCATTAAGTTTTTTTGTTTGCTTGTTTTTCCTGAGGCTTTATCTTGTTCTTTCATTTGGAACATAGTCCTTTGTTTCTTTATTCTGTTTGACTCTTTGTGTTGGTGTCTATACATTAAATGCAACAACCACCCCTCCCTGTCTTGAAGGAGTGGCCTTGTGTAGGAAATGAATTTTGTTGTTCAACCCTCCTTTAGCTCTCAGTTGTCTCTCAAACCTTTATGATTGTCCAAGCAGCCTATTCTATTTTTAATACCTCACAGTAGTTCAGGGTGTGCCAAGACCTGTCAGTTTCCCAAAAGGGGGGATCTCAGTAAGCACCTAGGTTCAGGCTGATTGGAAGTTAGACCCTCAGGCAACATCTTTTCAAGTATTCATATATACATTCTTGTGGTTCCACAAGTGTAAGCTCCACTGACCACCAGAGCCAGGCAATATGGAAGTGTCCACTGGACAGCTGTTGCAAAAATAGCGGCTTCAGACAAGTGTATAAGTTCTCTTCTGAGAGATACCAGCAAGCTGTAGCAAGGCAGAGGGAAAGCACAAAGATGGCATCCACAGGGCTACATTCCCGAGAACAGCTTTGTAGACTACTAGGTGTATGCCAAACCTGAAGTCTGCCTCTCAGGTCAGTGCTCCAAGACAAGCAAATAGACCTTTTAATATAGATTGTTTTTTTTAAAATCCTCACCCAAGGATATATTCCCATGCTTTTCAGACAGAGTGGAAGAGAGAGAGAGAGATTGAGAAAGTCATCGATGTGAGAGGGACACATTGATTAGTTGCCTCCCGCCTGCCCCAACCAGGGCTGGGGATTGAGCCTGATTCCCTTGGCCAGAATCAAACCCAAGACACTTCAGTCTGCTGGGCTACATCCTAACTACTGAGCCAAATCAGCTAGGGCTTAATACAGATTTAAATGAGTTGGGTCAAAGATGCTCTCCTGCCAAATGACCTCATGGGTGTTTTTAGAGAGAAGAGCTTAACCTTCCTGATACCTATTATTCCTCTTTCGGGGTCTGGTTCTCAAAGATTGATGCAAGGCAACAAGGTCAGGAGTGCTCTGCATAGTACTTTTTCTGATATACCTCTTCAGGCAAAAGGAACAAAAGGAAAAAGAAACAAATGGGGCTACATAAAACTAAAAAGTTTTTGCACAGCAAAGGATGCCATCAGTAACACAAAAAGACAACCTACTGAATGGAGGAAGATATTCACCAATTATACATCTGATAAGGGGTTAATATCCAATATTTATAAAGAACTCATACAACTCAACACCAAAAACAAAACAAAACACAACAAACCAATTTTAAAATTGGCAGAGGACCTTAAGAGATACTTCTCCAAAGAGGACATATAGATGGCCAATAGACATATGAAAAGATGCTCAATGCCACTAGTTATTAGAGAAATGCAAGTTAAAACTACAATGAGATATTACCTCACACCTGTCAGAATGGCTACCATCAATAAATCAACAAACAACAAGTGTTGGTGAGGATGTGGAAAAAAGGGAACCCTTGTGCCCCGTTGGTTGGATTGCAGAATGTTGCAGCCACTATAGAAAACAGGATGAAGTTCCTCAAAAAATTAAAAATTGAACTGCCCTATGACCCAGCAATTCTGGACATATATCTGAAGAAACCAAAAACACTAATTTTAAAAGATATTATTTACAATAGCATTATTGTAAAAACATTATTTACAATAGCCAAGATAGGGAAGCAACGCAAGTGCCTATCAGTAGATGAATGGATAAAAAATAGTGGTATATACATACAATGGAATAATTACTCAGCCATAAAAAAGAATGAAATCTTACCATTTGTGACAGCACAAATGGACCTAGAGGGTATTATGCTAAGTGAAATAAACCAGAGAAAGACAAATATATGATTTCACTTATATGTGCAACCTAAGGAACAATATAAATGAACAGACAAAATAGAAACAGACTCATAGATACAGAGAACAGACTGATGGTTGCCAGAGGGGAGAGGGGTTGAGGGACTCAATGAAAAAAGTGAAGGGATTAAGAAGTACAAATTGGTTGTTACAAAATAGTTATTGGGAAGTAAAGCACAACATAGGGAATATAGTCAATAATATTGTAATAACTATGCATGGTGCCAGGGGGGTACTGCATATATAAGGGGGAGCACTTTGTGAAGTTTATGACTGTCTGACCACTGTACTGTACATGTGAAACTAATACAAAATAATATTGCATGTCAACTGTAATAAAAAAAACAATAAAGAGCACTCTGCTGCCCTACACAGCAGAAAGGGCTTACGTGGACCTGAATCCTAGCTCTGCCACCTATCAGCACTGTGACTTTGTCCAAGTTACCTAAACTCTAAGCCTTGGGTTTCTCATTAGAAAAGGCAGATAATATATTACCTACCTCAGAGGAATCTTTTATGAATTAGAAATAGAATATGTGAAGCTCTTAATACAGTGTGTGGCATCTAGTAGGTACTTAAGAAATGCTCATTACTATTTGTTCTATACCACTTTCTGCACTTTGGGAATTTGTGCAAGTATCAAATAAAACCAGTTGATAAACTTTTTAGGAATACCTTGATATGAGAAATAAAAATATATTTAACTCCATGTGAATAAGAAATCTGTGTAAACAGGAAAAAGTGGGACTTTTAGGGATTTGTACATATTTCTTTCATTTCACTTTTCTTTCTAATAGTACAGCTGACTATCAAAATGCAAACTGAGCCCTAGCCAGTTTGGTTCAGTGATTAGACCACTGGCCCAAGAACTGAAGGGTCTCAGGTTCGATTCTGGTCAAGGGCGCTTACCTAGGTTGCAGGCTTGATCCCTGACCCCCGTTGAGGCACGAATGGGAGGCAACCAATTGATGTGTCTCACATTGATATTTTTCTCCCCTCCTCCTCTCTCCACTCTCTTTGAAAAGCAATGGAAAAAATATCCTCAGGTGAGGATTAAAAAGAAAAGCAAACTGGTGCAGTCAGTTTCCAGGTATTTCCTCTTGTTTTGGTGATCTGTTTCTCTAGGTGAGCTAATTTTAATCTGCAAACCCAAATGATAGGACTTCTCTTAGACACCAACCCCTCTCTCATTTCCTTTGATATGACTTTTTCGTTTTTGTTTTTGCTTTATCCCAAATCCTGACTCTGAGTCTTAATTTCATCCTTTGTTTTATGCTCCTTGAAATACTAGTTTAGCATGAAGGACTCAGGCCCTTTTCCCTAACAGATGGCTTCCAAGTCAGAATGCTATTGAAAAACTAGTTCTATTTTCATGTTCACTAGTATTTCTACCTCTTCAGGGCTCATGAGTCACTTCACCTGCAACTCCTTCTCAGAGTCCCATTTTCTTTTTTTTCTTTTTTTTAATATATCTTTACTGATTTCAGAAAGAGGAAAGGACAGGGAGAGAGAGACAGAAACATCAATGATGAGAGAGTCATCGATCGAGCCCGCAACCGGGCATGTGCCCTGACCGGGAATCGAACCCCGATCGCCTGGATCCTAGGCCGACGCTCAACCGCTGAGCCACGCCCGGCTGGGATCAGAGTCCCATTTTCTGACCAGCCTCCAATATAATTATCAGATTCTCTACTATTGCTTGTGACAATCTCCTTCAGATCTAGCTTGACAGTTTTGCAAGAATCAATGAAGAGTAGTTGAGAATTTGGAATACACAAGAATCAGAAATGGAAATTTATTCAATGTATAAGCTGACTTAATGAAAAAAAAAGTAGGGGTAGGGACTGAGGGGAGAGAATGACATTTTATTATTACAAAGTATTTGTATCTTGTCATTTTGATCATGTTTAGGTGTGTCCATGCAGCTATAAAAGGCATGTAAAAATGAACATTTAAAAAATTATTTTCAAAAAGCAGTAAAAACATTTATACAGGACATTATGAAATTCTAATGTCATCATTAGGACCCAACTTCTGCAGGTTACTAGTATAGAATACCCACCAAAGGCTGTTCTGCAAATAGGCAGGCAAACAGGATGAGAGTATTCCCTTGATTATTATAATAATAAAAATAATTAAGAAACCTTCCTTTAGTTGGACAACCCTGCATAAATAGGCAACACAGTTAATCAAAATGTAAACATGGTTTTCTGACACCAGTATAGCAAATATATAAGTAGCTGCAACTAGAAGAATTTCTAAATTATCCCACTATAGTGATTCTTACACTTTGCTTCTTTGCTGTGTGATCCCTGTGTATTTTTTCCCATTCATCATCTTCTGTATCCTGGTCAAATGTTTCAGGGTATGCTGGTAATTTGTCTTTGGGACATTCTTCATAGTAACTCCGAACATATTTTCCCACAGACCACCCCTTGTATTCTTCAGGTGTTTTGCACTCCAGGCCATTATAGTGGACATTGTAGTGGTGCTTTAACCAGTAGTAGAGGTAGTGGATGTTGTAGTCACATCTCCAAGGGTTATCTCTGAGCCACAAGAGTTTCAAAAAATACAAGTCTTCTAATACTCCATAGTCAAAGTTTTGCAGACTGTTGTTTGATAAATCCAACTCTTCTAAATGTGTGAGTCCTAAAAAAGCAGCTAGAAACAGAAAACATATATTAAACTAATGAGTAATTGGGTTAAATGCAACTGTATGGTGTTTATAAGAACAAATATAAATTAAAAATAAGAGACTTAATTTACCCTGTTGAAAATAAAGGAAGAGATTTTCCTCCCCTCCTTTTTCTCAGAGCACATAATTTAGAAAACTTGTAACTCTAAGTACTTTCTTCTCTCTTTGAGTATGTACACATTCTTTAGAAGACTAAGGCCTTTTGTCAGCTTTATGAGCCAGAAATGTCTTTCTCAAGGACCTGGGAGCCCTCCCCTTGAAATGTAATCATCAAGAAAGATAGCACCCCAATCTCCCAGTTTCTGTGGGAGGGTAGGAGCCTTGCTCCAAGTTGCAAAACTACCTCTTGTCATAAAGATAAAAGTTTGTTTTCCTCTTGATAAAGCCAATTCACTGACACAGTTGGTCACCCCAATTACCATGTAAAGTTAGGATGAACTGTGTGTGACAAATGCTGCTGTCAAGTCTTCTTACTTAAGGACTAGTTATCACTTATACTGAAAACATGTATGTGTTGGCCTGTATCTGCTGGGTGATGTAAAATGTGCGATTTCTTTCTGTCTCTGTAATTTCTTAGCAGATGGCCTGTGATGTGCATCACATTCTGGCTTAATGCTTATTCAGCAATAAATGTATTTTCTTTCTTTACTATCTCTGTGGAGAGGATTTCTATGTTGGGAGAAGATTTTAGTTTTCATTATATTTCCCTAACAGTACATGTATTTAAATGAGAAGTTCTAAAATATGTTTCTACTCAAACAAACTTTTCCCTTGATTAAATCGACTACAACACAATATTTTATATGTGAAATCAGTTTTAAGTTAGCTTTCTAAAAGATGTATTTTGAGCTTATGTGCATTTTTTTTATATTCACTAGAAAGATGCCATAAAAAGGCATGACTTAGGAAAATATTTCAAATATAAGGTATAAGTGCATAAAAAATGAAAATGTGTCTGGTGATTATTTGACAGCTCCCTGGGATATCAATAAACTCCAAAAAATGTCAAAAACCAGCCTTTTCCCAGTTTAGGGGAGGGAATTATATTCCTGTAAAGACCAAAAGCGGCAATTTTATCAACATTTTGAAAACATCTGGTTGTGTTTTAGCAAACTATGGTACCTATCAGCCTTGAATCCATATGTGTTTAATTCTGCTGGGGGGATGGATAATTAAAACAAATATCAAACACATAACAAAAAAAGACAACAAAAAGTTTTGTGAGTTTTTTTTTTTTTTTAGTAAAGAAATCTAAACCTAGATTATCCCTATTTTAGTTATGTGGACTGACTAGAGACCCTGGAATTTATAGGTCAATCCTAATTTCAAATATTTTGTTTCTATTTCAAACATTTTCTCATTGCTGTTTTAAAATACTCTTGTTAGAGCATAAAGTGTCCTTATTTTGAGTTTGGAAAACATGTTCTCATACCAATACCATCAAGCATTTTCATAGTATTTGTTCTCTGATAAAATCCATAATTCCCCCTAAAAAGAATTCTATTTTGGTGCGAATTATTGGGGATGTGAGGTTGGGGAGAGCAGGCGATGGAGAGGAGCAAAAGGTCAGCTCTTGTAATGAGAGTTCTGACGATACTGCATTTTTTATTTTCCATTTGCTAACATTTGTGAGTCAATGATCTCAACAATTTACTTTTCTTAAAACAGTCAGCCCTTCAGATTGAAAGCATGTGTAAACATTCCTAGATTTTATTTTGAAAGCACTATAGTTGTTACTTAAACCACATGTATCCAGGCCCTTTAAAAAGCTAGTATTCATTTGTTTCTTAAAGGAGGTAAAACCTCTAATAGGGTGTCTTCTTTCCCTTTTTTGCAATAGTATCTGGAATTTTATGAGATTATTATTTACACCTTTTAAAGACTGGTGGATCTTACTGCATTTGTGTATCTACCAGCATAAGTCGTTAAGTAAGCCTACTTTGGCAGTGTTTCATCTCAAAAGCCCCAAAATATAAAGGTCTTTTATTTTAAAATTTCTTTAGGTCATTTTTACTTAAGTGCTGAGATACATTTTTGTTCCAGAAGATATACCAAGAAAAGTGGTTGGCATTTGGTAGGTGTTCAATACACATCTGTTATTGTAGAAAATACTTTCCTGGGACTGAATTGAACAAAGGAGAAAAAGAATACTATTGCTGCTAACAGTTTGCATTGTGTGTCAGCAAGGAAAATTCAGTGGGTAAACAATATTAAAAGGCCTTCAGGAAATCCCAAGAATGGAAAAGGAATCCTCGCAATTATGGGAACTTCATAACTGATGAGGAGAAAATATCACTAGAAGTAAAACAAACCCATTTTGTACTATTATCTATATCTCTGTATTGTTTTTCTTTATTTTTCTCTAGTTTTCTTTACATAATGTAGTTTTATTATAATTAAAACATTGTTTGCACTGTTACTCACTATTTTAATACATTTAACGTAGGCCACTAACATTTTAGTCTCTCTTAGAGACAGCTCTAAAACTTGTTTTCATGGATACTTTTGATAGTTGGTTAGCCAGGGTCAGAAGGAATTAGACACCTGCCCAGGGACCTGCAATACAGCACGCTTGTCTTGAGGGTCTTTGGTTCTCATGGAGCAAAAGAGGGTCCGCACCTGCAGGTTCTTCACCCTGTGGCCTGGCCGACCTGCACACTAGTATGCTGATTGCTTCATTTGGAAAAAAGGTGCCTCTGTAGCATTTTTATTCACTGTGAAATGAAAATTGCTTTTGACCTCACAATTTAAAGATACTTCCAAGTTTACACTATCTCTACAGACTAAGGTATACGTGTAGCATATTGCTGTTCCCTTGGGAAATTTTTAAAAATTATTATTTCTTGATATTTTAAAACAATGTGCGGGTCAGGAACCAGGTGGTGGGAGGCAAGGGGGAGAAAAGGGGAACATATGTAATACTCTCAACAATAAAGATTAAAAATTTTTTTTAAATAAATAAAAACAATGTTATTAATGCTAAAATATGCCTGTGTAGTTCTAGAACATTCATTTTCAATTTTCACTTCTACACTGTTAAAATCTCAGTGTTCTATTAATAGTATTAAATTACCATTAAGAAAAGCAGAAAATTGTACTCAAAATGTTTATGACATTAACATTGCACTATTAATAATATTAATAACCATTTTTTTTATAGACAGGACTTTTCAAATTAAAATAGCACTGTGAAGGCACATATAATATGTCTGTTATAAATATGATTAATATTACAGTAAATATTCTTTCTAAATCCAGTGTGTGATTTACCACTTTTGTTTTTGCCAGAGGCTTTGCTTAGAAAATGGAGAAGCGAATTGATAGATGGGAAAGAGGACTGATCTTCATCTAGGATTAGATAAAATAAGGCTGGCCCTGATTTGAGGACATTTTATCTTAATTTATGAACTTGATGCTTAACAGATTATTTCAAATTTACTATAAACAAGTTGTTAAAATCCTACTTTAAACAAGTTGGAACTTAAATAATAGCAAAGAAAATGCAAAATCTGAATTTCCCTTTAAAAATCATACGTTTGGAATTTTATTGACCACTAGCCACATATTCTTATTTTTTATTGTATGCTATAAAACACTCTTATGTGGACCAATTAAATAACTGTTGCTTAGTAATATGTAGTATTACATACTTCATAGAACAACATTTTGGCAAATATTACAAGTTTTAATTTAATCTAATCTAATCTAAACAAGTTCTAATTAAACAAGTTCTAAATTAATCGTGTTTAATTCAAATTCAGACTTTTTATTATTTTTTTAAAAAACTAAATTGTATTTACTATAAATGTTGCCATAGGGGGAAAAACAGAAAACATCTGTCACCAGTTAAAAGGGCTATCCTGTGGAACTTACCAGGATCAATGAATTCAATGCCATTGCTGCTAAGGTTTAATTTCTTTAGCTCATGAACATCCTCAAACTCCTTGGGTCGAAGTTGGTTGATTTTATTGTATGACAAGTCAAGTTTAACAATATCTGGAGAGATGTTGTTTGGAACTTTCTTCAACTCTGGAAAAATTAATAATATTCAGGTTATCAAGCTCTCCTCTCGTCCTCTTTGCTCTTACCACTCTTACACCTGTGTGACTGAAGCATCAGCTCTTAAAGGGGAAAAAGATAGCTAATGCCAAAGAACACGGGTGTGCACAAGCATTAGCATGTGTTAAATTCCACCAAAGCCTGGTGAACCAAGTGCATGATGCATAAGGAGCAACTCATTGCTGAGCTGTTCCAAGAAACTTCCTCCAGACAGCTTTGAGAAATCAAGGAGACAGGAGACAACACCGTTCAGTTGGCTCAGTCATCAGCTGAGGCGGTGGGTTCACTCCTGCCTGTCTCTACAATCACCTAGGGAGCTTAAAGAAAAGAAAGCTAAAATGAAATGTAACAGATCAAACCTATTTGTGTCCCCTCCCATTTCCTTCCTCCTCCCTAGGAGTGTTCATTATTAATTATTGCCTCTTTGAAGCATCCTCATTTTATGCCTCTTCTCAGATCAATAAATACGCTCAGGTCTCTCCACCCTAAAAAAACCAACAGAAAGCTCTTGACCTTAGTGCCCCTCAAGCTGTTATCTTGTTTCTCCTTTCTTATGATGCCAAAATTCAAGAAAGTGGTCCTGGCTTGTTGCCTCTGCTTCTCATCATGTACTTATTCCCTGAGCCCTTGTGATTTAGTTCATGCTGCATCACTCCCCGACTCTCCCCTGGGGACAGCAGCCAGTGGACTCCTCAGGAACAGCAATAATAGCAACAGTTCTACTGCTGCTGCCACAGGAAATGCCTCTGGAAGAGGAGTCCAGGGTTTTTTTCACAGTTAATAGGAAATCAAGGCTAACCTAATTTATCTCCTGCTCTTTATGTTTGTCTTTAAGCCCTGTTTTAAAAAGAAAAAAGCAGTGTGTTTATGTTTTAGCATAATACTTGCCCTTTCTCTTAACCTTTATCAAAATATTCTGAAGAGACCTTATTCCATTTTAAGTAGGGCAGGTGAAGCCTGAGAAGAGAAACAAACCTGTTCCCACAAAAGGAATCTAGAAGAAACAAGTAAAATATCCAGATTCATTGACACCTGAGAAAAAGCATGAGCCAGAAGCTTTCTGAATAAGTAGGGATGCTTTGAACTGGATACAGTAAAATAAAGTTATGAGAGGTGGTACCCATTTATGCCCCTTTTGGTACAGAATAAATGAATTGTTAATAAATTCTCCCAAACCCTCTGTTATCTATGATTTCTTAACCCATAGTATATTTACTTTAAAAAAGACTCAGGCTTATTTCCCTCCAGGTTTTAACAGCTCAGAACCCATTTAAGGGGATGGTATTGGTAGTTCCTTCTTTAGTATCCCTTTTTCTGTTAAATTTGCTTTCTCTTCTTGATGGGACCTTGGTATCTGAGTATCAATGTGCAGGAACTGTTCTAGGTGCTCTAATAAGTATTGAATGACAAGAACCCTGTGAACTAAGCACCATTATTATTCTCATTTTATAGATGAGGAAACAGGCACAACTTGCCCACAGTCACACTCCTAGGAATTAAACATAAACATATTGGCTGCAGAATCTGTGCTTCTAACCACTATGCTTTGCTGCCTATTCACAGTACCTTTCTGCTTCATTTATGCTGTTCCATCTGCTCAGAACCCTCAAGGTTGTCATGTAGGGTGATATGGGGGTAAGGAACAAGTTGGGTGAAGTCAATATATTGGGATGACCATGAGACCTTTCTGGCTCTGTATGTATTTGAAATAACATCTCCTGCTTTCAAGTGGGTAATAATAATAATACCACCATTCCCTGCTTTTTCTCAATGGTTGTTATCAACAATAGACATAGTGTAAATTTTACTGATTTTTTTGTTTTTGCCCCCTCCTCACCATGGAAGTTTCATGAGGGAGGCTTAGAACAATACCTAATATATCATAAATAAGTGGTATATGGCAGACACCTTTTTAAAATACATATATATATGTATATATTTAATCTGCTCCTGATGACATGCTTTTTAAAAATTGATTTGAGAGAGGAAGGAAGGAAGAGATAGAGAGAGAGAGACATCGATGTGAGAGAGAAACATCAATCGGTTGCCTCCCTTATGTGCCCTGACTGGCAATTGAACCTGCCACCTTTTGGTGTACAGGATGACACTCAACCAACTGAGCCACACGGGCCAGGGCTGTGGCAGACACCCTTAAAATGGCACCTAATTATCCCCTCTACTGATATTCATGCCCTTGTGCAAACCTTCCCCTTGAGTTTGGGCTGAACCTGTGACTTGCTTCTAACAATAAAATGCAGCAAATGGGTTACAAGAAATTGTGACTTTTCATTTTGCTAACAGACCTCTTTTGCTGGCTTTGATGATGCAAATTGCTGTGTTGGAGAGGCTGACATGGCAAGGAATAAAGGTGGCCGCTGGCCACTAGCTGGCAAGGAATTCCAGCCCTCAGACCAACAGCCCTTAAGGAATCAAATCCTGCCAACAGCCATATGAGCTTGGAAGGGAATCCTTTCCCAGTTCAGCCTTCAGCTGAGACCACAGCTCTGAGCCCTGGTCAATACCTTGATTGCAACATTGTGAGAGATCATAAAGCAGAGGACCCAGCTAAACTATGTCTGGTTTCCTGACCCACACAAACAGAGAGATAATAAAGTGTGTTGTTTTAAGCCATTAAGTTTTGGGTTAGTTAGGCATCAATTGATAACTAGCCCATAGTAAATAATAGGAGCTCATTAAATGTTAAGTTTAATGATTTAGGAATATTGAGGCCTCTGGTAATGAAAGTGCTTTGCAAATTTGGAGTGATCTTATTTCTGTCCTCCGATAAGGTATTGTTTCATTTGACCTAGAGTTGTGTCTGTCAACATAGTGAAAGGTGAAAGATTTTAAGACTAGAACATACTATAATGTTGCAACAGTGAGGTAATTCTCCCTTTAGGGTCAGCAAGACCCTCACTGGAGAGCTATAGTCTCTCTTGGGCACTACATTTAATCAGGGAGATGGGGATCCTGGTAGTTAATTGAAAACCAAAGAGACAGCTGAGAAGAGATAGTAGAAATAATTTCTTGGCATTTAGCATTTGGAATAACTACTGAGAATGGCTGTGGCATCTTCTTAGAAGGCTTTTAAAAGCAGACTAGGGCTTTATTTTAAAATCCAGAATCCCACCTCTTCTCACTTCTTCCACTGTTACCACATAGGTCCAAGCCACCATCATCTCTTGTCTAAGTTATCCCAATAGTGTCCTAAACCTATGTGATCCTGTTAAAATCTAAGTCAGATCATGTCATTTTTTGTCATTTTCCCAGATGACTTCCCATCCTCCAGATGGCAAACTCCTTCAGTGGCTTTCCGTCTCACTCTGAATAAAAAGCCCAAGTCCTCACCAAGGCACTGTAAAGCCATTAAAGGCTCTAGGTCTTCCTCGTCACCAGAGTCAGCATCTCCTAGGTTCTGGAAAGCAGCCTTTTTATTAAGACTTGCTTGCTGAACCCACATCTGCTGGGCTGGATCTGAGACCACTGTAGGACAAGCTAAAGTGGGTTAACCACAAATAAATGGGTAGAAAAAAATGTTTATGAGAACACCCTGAAATCCAGCTTAAGCAACGTGGCAGACCTGTGGATGCTGGACAGGGAATAGGAATTGCGGAACCAACTTTGGTGTTGTTAGCAGCAACCCTGGGTAAAAATAGGATCCACAAGTAATACCAGGAATTGCAAACCAAAGCCTTTACTAGTATGGCTTGGAAAATCATGAAAAAATTTTATTGTATTGATGAGTAAAAATAGTTCTTTAGTTCTTTTACTTTAAACTTGAATGAGAATTGAAAATATTGATGTAAAGCCTGTTTGTTTTGATAAAGATTACATAGACACAAATTTCCCCAGGGCATAAGTCATATTTGGTCAGTGCTCCATTTCTGGGTCAGGCACCACATGGTTATTTGATGCCACCTGAAATTCTTGGTAAATGCTCAACAAATACCATATGTACTTGATTGTCACCCGACAAGCCTTGCCTCTTCCGCAGCCAAGCCTTGCTGATTTTGAGGAGGAAATTGGGAAGGTTTCTCCATGTAATTTCCCACTGAGTAGGCTATGTTAGTTGTCAGCAATGTCAGAATTACTCTGAAGGATTGATAGTAGTAGGTAAAGAGACATAAATGGGCCTGTTTATTGCAAATAAAAAAATTCTTAATTATTGTTCAAGCCAGTGGTGAAATTAACTTCAGAGGCTGCTGGGAGGAATTTATGGGCATAATTCTCTCCAGCCCTAATCTTAGAGGTAAAATGAATCCTCAAAAATGGTAAATTATTCTGGTAAATGTGAAGCTAAAAAGCAGTTTTAAAACTACTACTTTCATGTGTTTTTGGCAAATCCATTTGCCTCAATATGGCATAACCATGTCTTTCAACTAATCTTACATTTATTCCCTTTGAAAGACTTAGTTTTGTTGGCAAAGTGCCTGTTTCCCAGTGAATAAAGCTATTATTTTTTTCTTACTGTCAGATGTTTAAGGCAAAAATAGTGATCTTTGAGGTCTATGTGGTCAAATTGGAACATATTAGGTGCCCTACACACACCATCTGACTCATCATCTGTCAGCCCGGAAAGGCACAACTCCTGAGCTAGGGGGATCTGTATTCAGGTCCCTGTGTGGGATCATGTGCATGGTATACTGTAAGAGCCTAAGAGGAGGGTTCAAATTCTCATAAATTCTTCTTGGGAACTGCTTGTGTGACCTTAGAAGGGCAACTTAACTTCTCTACACCTCAGTTTTCTCATTTATAAAATGAGGATAATAATAGTACTTCTTTTAAGGTCATGAGGAGTAAATGAAATAATGTATGAAACTGCTATCTTAGGCACACCAAGCATTTAGGTGAAAGCTCTTATTCATTAATATCACTGCTAGTTTCACTCTTGATGGTATGTTTTAGGCTTCTTTAGATCCTAGATAGTGTCCAACATGTGGTGCACAATCAAAAGTATTATACATTCTGGCAGGGAGCTAAAGATGAACATTGCAGAACAATTATTCTTAGCATTTGACATTTATTACCTATTTATAGAATGGAATAAGAAAAATTACAGTGAATTATATTCATATTGTCATGCTTGAAGTCTAGACATGATTTTTAATGTCTATGTATTTTTATTTTTAAAGGTTACTTAAATTACTGCTTTGCAAGAGCAAAGAAAGCAGCTCAATTATTATCATCCATCTGAACGACATGCCCTGTGCCAGGCAGCACCAAAGGGCATTTAATAGACAAGACTTTTGCCTTTAAACTTATAGAAATCAACAATACACCAAAAAAATTAAAAATAATAAATTTATATAGACCATAGTGAAAGTGATTTATATGGACTATATTAAAAGAGAAAACTACTTTTCTTTTCATCTAAATTTTATCTACATTATTAATCTAAAAAGTATAGCCTCTGATTTATGTCGTCCTAAACATGTGGAAGAACTTGAGTTGTCTTTTAGTGTGTGACCCTATGTTATATATGCTGCTTATGTCATTAAATTTTATTTTTCAGTAAATAATATGTGTATTTTTAAAGCAGGGAGAATGAATTTATGAGACATATCTGGAAGTTTATTTTTGCCAAGAGAAAAAGAGACAAAAATATCATGGAAAATACAAAGGCAGATAGGGTCATGGGGAGCGAATGGCCCAAGAATAGAAAGGCAGTAAAATGGAAATTTCCGAACAAATTATGTCTTCTTAAATGACAGTGTAGTCTAGCTACAGAAGTCTTTAACTGTGCTGATGGCATTTTTCCTCGGACAATTAGTGAACTTAAAGGTACCTACTTACACTCTCTCACCTGATGCACCAAGTGCAAATTAGCTTGAGGATAGAACCTCAGCAATATCAAGTAATTTTTCTAACACAAGTCTAGGATTAGTAGCTTTGTAGTTTTAAAAATATGTAATTGAAGTTTTTAAGTACCACAAAGGAAATCCTAGTAAAACACGCTCTTCAGAATGAAGCATTTCTCACCGTACCAATATCAGAGAAATTCCGCCCAACCTGACTACAGAGGAACTACGTATACTGACTTTTCTGGAATTCTCTAATGTTTCCCTTGTTAATATGCTGTTTGTGTGAATATAATTAGATTAATTTTAGAAGACAGCAGGCTCAAGCAGACCAAGGTTCAAATTTTGGCTTTGTTGTTTACCTGTGAGACCTTGGCCAAATGACTGAACCTCCCTGAGGCTCATTTTCCTCAACTGTAAATGGAGATACTGCTACCTTCCCTGGTAGTCAACTGTGGACAGTATTGTGTGCAGAGTGCCTGGAACATAGTAGGTTCTCAATGAACACTCTTAAATTCAGAGGACCCTAGAATGGCATCTCCCAGGTTAAGATGCTGTAATTGCTCTACTATGGCATCAAATTGTGTAGCATTTACAGGGTGTCATAGTAAGCAAACCTTTCCATGCCACATGGCTGTGATGTGATCCAACCAGGTGCCACCTTCCAGAGTCAGACAGTAGGGGGCAAGGCTTGAGCATGACTTCGCTGATAAATGAACAAATTTACTGCTGGCTCAGATTGCCTGCTTCTTCAGTGTCAGCAAATTTCTGCCTATGGTTCCCTTGAGAGAAGCCAGAGTCCCTATGTTCTGAGTCTTCCCTTTCTGTTCTTAAAGAAACAAAACAAAGCAAAACCTCCCCAAATAAGCGGAAAGAATGACACCATGACCCACAAGACCCTAATTCAGTGACATCTGGCTTTAATTTAATATTACAAATAAATTATTAATCCATGCCATAAATGAAGCAGACAGACAATGTCCGATGGCTTGTTTTCCAAGGGTAGATTAGTGGTTCCCAGATCACACTTTGAGAATGTCTACACTAACATGTTAAGAGCATAACTAAACCCTTCCTTCTATCTTATTTCATGAATTTATCCTATATGTGTGAATCCTGCACAGTACTAGCCCAAGATTGTGTGAGATATAAAACTTAGTAATGATGTTCAGGAAGTAGATAACATTCTGGAAAGATTCCCTTAGTCTCATAGTTCTTGGATTAAATACTTTCAATTTAGGTTTTAAAAATATTTTTGTGTTTTATTTTGGATAACTTGGGGACAATTAAAATACAGGATATTAGCAAGTGCTTATTAAAACCTTAAGAGTAAATAATAAGATACACCATCACTGCATCCCGCTGGGCTTCCCTTTTGACAGTGCTCTCCCCTGCCCTCCTCTGCACATGGTTTTCCTCGAGGTTATCATTTCCCCACAGATGTACACCATGTTCTGACTTTACTCGGGGTAAGTCAGATTATGTAGACAGCATTTTGCACTTGTTTTCATACCAACTGATTTACCTACATAAATTAAGTTACATTAGATTTAAGATTAAAGGAATCCCTTATAGCCAGAGTTTGCAATGCAGAATAAGAGTAGGACCCAAATTGCTGTCCTTCCTACTCTCCTCTAATGTCCCCTAAACCACTAACCATTCTGGACTCTGTAAAAGCTTGGAGTAAATTCCATTGTCATTGGAGAAAGATTTCTGGGGGAAGTTACACCAGAAATTTCAGGGCATGACTGGGTATAGGAATGAGTTATAAGATTCAAAGAACATTTTAAATTGCTTATGAAAGTGAAAATGTAAGAAACTTACGTGCCCTGGCTGGTGTTGCTCAGTTGGTTGGAGAGTTGTCCCATGCACCAAAAGGTGGCGGGTTCCGGTTCCCAGTCAGGGCACATACCCAGGTTTTGGGTTCAGTCTCAGTTCAGGTGCTTATGGGAGGCAACGGATCAATGTTTCTCTCTCTCTCTCTCTCTTCCTCTCTCTGAAATTAACTTTAAGAAAAGAAAAAGAAAAAGAGAAACTTACCTTTTCTTTTGCAGTCCAGTGTCTGTATGGGAAACACATAGATGTGGCAAAGAGAAGAGTCCACCTCAGGCTTGATGACTGGGGGTCTCCCTGACACTTGAGGTTTGGGGTCCAATTGTTCATTTTCTTCTTCATTACATAACTCTTCAGATTTTATCTGCCGCAGTTTTTTATTTTTTAGTTCTTGTGGGCTTTCACACTTGGCGTAGTTCCCCAAATTTCGGTTCTTTGGAACCTGCAGCATTGAAATAAGGGTCTCTATGTCACAAGTACAGTGCCAGGGGTTGTCATAAAGGCGTAGGTAGCTCAGCAAAGGTGTATAAATGAACGCTTCTTCTGTCAAGACTTTGATCTGGTTATGCTGCAGTAACAGAGTGGTGAGTTTGTTTAAACCAAAAAAAGCCTCACTCTCAATTTTGGAGATCTCATTCTGTTGCAGATCCAAGCTTTTAAGCTTTTTGAACTCGGAAAACATGTTGTTCTTCAATATGCGGATCTTGTTTCTTGCTAACAACATGTGCAGCAAATCGTGAGGCCAGTCGGGTAGCACATAAACTAGTTTTCTTTCTTGACAATCTAAATATTTCTCATGAAGATACGTGTACACTTCACAAGGGAGGCCTGGTGCATAGCGTTTGACCGGGTTGGAGCTTCTCCGGCCCCCACCCACCCGGCCAGGATTAGCTCGGTTTCTCACCCCCCCAGGGTTTGCCTTGCGGAGCTCAGCGGCTTTACAAAAGAAAAGCAGGATTATGATGGTAACCACGCGCATCCTGACATCCAGCTGGCCCCAATTACTTAGTGTGACAGATGGAACAATGAAAATATTCCTTTGAAATCCAAGTTTGGGTAATCTTAACTAATGCAGATCAGGAACAATGAGATCCAGCTGAGGTTCCCTGGAGTCCCTAGTTTGCAGGAGAAAAAAATATTCAGTTAAGGACCCTTGTGAGCACTGTTACTGACAGATAATAGCAGCTTTTTTACTTTTATTTTTTTGAGCAAAGGCATCGCACATAATAAAGGCATATGCAGAACAGTGGTGTATAAGGCTCTGCACCTTCCAATTGCCTTGTTTCGTGGCTAAAGGTTTGAGGCCTGAGTTTGAGTCAAGGCTCTCCTAATTGCTTAACTGTGTGATCTCAGGCTAATTATTTCACCTCATCTTCTGCATCTGTAAAATGGGACAGAAGGATATCTCTAGTATTGTTGAGAGGTGAAATGGGCTCCTGTGGGTAAGACACTTCCCAGTGCCTGGTCTGGGGGAAGTATTCCACAGTGTTAGGGCTTAGCACTGTGAAAAAGGAAATCTGTAGTTTATCATCACACTGGATTCAAGAATTAAAGGGTTTCTCCTTGCAGTCTTGAGATGTGCAAACAAGAGAGGACTCCAATGGCTGCCTTCCTGAGCTTATTTTTTTCCTCCATTTACTGTCTCCCAGTCACCAACCATATTGAATGTGCACTAGAGAAATGCTCAGGGTAAACTGAACTACAACTGTCCTTGTTATCTCCTGCAGAATTGGCTCAAAGGTCACCTCAGTGAGACTACTCAGCTGTATTGGATGTCACACCCCTTTCCATTCCCGGCTGCTCTCCACCCTCTTTCTTGTTTTATTTTCCTCCAGAACACTTACCAACATTTGTCAAAGTAGATATTTAACTTCTTTTGTTTACTATCAGTTCCCACCCTCCCAAACTAGGATGTAAACTCCACGAGGGCAGAGATTTTTGTCTGTTTACTGCTGTATTTCTGGCACCTATAGAGGTTCTAGCACAAAGCAGATTCTTGATAAAAACTTGTTGAATGCATGAATTGCTCTCTAACTATTCTATAAAAATATTAATCTCATAAACTTAGTTGTTATATTTTTGGGGCAATCTATTTTTTCCTTAACAAGTATTATTGATGGCTTCCAAGATCTGCACATTTTAAAGAATTGTTTCCATTTTTTAATCCTGAAAGTGGTTTTGTTTAGCATTTATTACTTTAAGACATAGTCCATTCTTGGCAGAGGAAGAAATGTTCAAAATGGATTTATAATTAATAACATTTCTGTTGCTATTACCGTGGGGCTACTCAGTTAGGAATGGCAGATGTGTTTTCTATTCATTGTAGCATTGTGAATGCCAGAATCACTCCCTAGCCTAGAGTTTTCTTTCTTAATGGGGTCTCCCCCACCTAGAATGCCTTTGCCTTTCTTTGCCTCAGGCATTCCTCCTGTGCACTGTTTGTGTTCCCACTCCTCACTGCTTCTCCATTGTCTCAGATTTGGAGCTTTGCTTCCTGTCAGTCTAGACCCAGAGTGCTGACTGTGTGTCACTTTGCCATCTAGCTCTTTGTGCACATGTCTTGTCTTCCTTGCAAGACCATAAGCTGCACAGTTGCCTCTGGTCCCAGAGCTAATCAGGCACTTGGCCTTTCTAATCATCTACTGTTCTAACTGTAATTCATTGTAAATTGTATGTGAATCTAACCTTAAAAAATCATAAATGTTTTATTAATTATGCTTACTGAATTATTTATGATATGCATGCTAAGTATTTGGGGGTAAGTATGCTGATGTCTACAACTTACTTGAAAATGCATAAAAAATAAGATGGATTGAGGAGTAGAGAGATGTATGTACAAGTGGATATGTGATAAAGCAAATATAATATGATATAAATTATAGAATATGGGGGTAGGTATATTCACTGTATAATTCTTCAATTCTCTCAACGTTTTTGTATGTTTGAAATTTTTCATAATAAAATGTTAAAAGGAAACAGAAAACAAAAAGAACAAAAAGTCATGCCACAAAAAAGCAGGTTGGTTTCCTTCAAGTGCTCTGAAGCTAAAAGCTCTAAATATATACTGTTTTCCCCAAAGTAGTATTTTTCTCTTTTCTGCTTCCTTCTGTAATCCTGAAACAATAATAAACATGTGTATATATTTTAATTTTAAAGCCAAAATAAATCATTTTTCTGGGAAAAGAAACCAATACTTAGAATAAGACTTGCCAAGATTTTTGTTTGTTTTCTAATGAATACATTGCATTGAATATAGGATGGAAAAACTTTAAGTTTAAACATTTGTAATATGCTGTTTAGTGATGTGTCACTTGTTTAATTTAGGCCTCTGTAAAAATTTGCAAGAGCTGAATGTCTCTGACTGTACAACACTCACGGTGAGTATAAGAAGCTTATTTTACTGTTGTTTACATAGATTTGGATTTGCTACATTGGAGTGCTAAAACACAGAGGTTTTGCCAAAATACATGCCTGTGTGCTCATTTAGGATTAAATATGGAAAAAAGCAAACTATGTTAAACATTGGCAAGAAATTTTTCCCCATTTATATAATGCTATTATAAATCTTGTAGATATATGTCCAAGTTTGGAGTCTTTGGAAAGTGGAAATAATTCAACAATTGCACAAACATGAACTACATTTATATTTAAGGCCATGTGTATATGAGACAGAAAAATTGGGACCCAGCAGAAACAATAGGCTCATTTTTATGGTTTTCAAGATGGCAGTGCCAAAGAAGATGGAAATGAACATGGAACCCTAGCAGTTCCTTCCTGGTCCATCTCCAGGCTTTCCTCTACCTCGTCTCTCACCCTGTGAGCACACTGACACTTTAAAAGGCAGATCTGACCATTTCACTCCCATTTTCCATCATTTATACACACACTCATCATCTACACTATTGGATAAAGTAAAAGCTCTTTAAAATTATTGTGCCTTGGAGACCCTCTGTGGGCTTGCCTCTGCCTCCCTCTCCAGCCTCATCTTGCTCCGAACACTGCTTGCACATTGTTTCAGCAACCACAGCTGCTTTGCTTTCTTTGCTGGCTCACCAAGCTGCTGCTTCCTGTTACCTTTGCTCATGCTGTGCTCTTTGTTGGAATACCCCTTCCCTAGTCCTCAGGTGCTGCTTTCCTCTTTGTCAGGCTTTCAGGCTTACTTTAGACCCCACCTTCCTTCCCAAGACATCAATGATTCCCAGGGAGGGGTTCACTGCTGCTCCTTTGGGTTTCTGTCATAAGTTGTCCTGATCACAGTGGTTCTGTCTCCTCCACTAGCCCAAGAGGCCCAAAGGGCAGGGGGTGTGTCTCATTTTTTGAGGTAGTCATAGCACAGAGCACAGACCTTGCATATTAAATACTCTATAATACAGGGTGGGAAAGGAGTAGGTTTACAGTTGTGAGTACGAGAAACAGAATTTATTCTATTAATTATTGTATTATTTGCCATAGGAACAACTGTAAACCTACTCTTGCTCCACCTTGTATATGTTTAATGAATGAAACTATATGGAGATATTTAGTCGGTAATGGACAACATTGACTAGAACTCAAGCTTCCATCTTGGGTTGACATCTATATGTCATAATTAACATTTCAGGAATAAATAAGATTGAGAGAGAGAGAGAGAGAGAGAGAAGGCATAGAAGATAAGAGACCTTATCATTGAACCTCAGAGAATACTTACTTTTAGGATCAGTCAGAGAAAAAACATCAAAAGATCTTAATAAGGAATATAAGAGAAGTAGGCTGAGAACAGAGAGGTATTACAAAGGCGAGAGAGTGGAGTTTTGGAAGGACGTTACCAAAGTGAGCAAAGGACTGAGCAATGCTTTCTGGATTTGAGAATTAGCAGGTGGCCTTTGTTAGAACAGTTTCCATAGAATATTGGGGCAGAAATCTAATTTAGTGAATTGCAAAGTGGACAAGAGGTGAGAAAAAGAGGCTTTAGGTTTGTAAACCTGTCATTCCAGAAAAGTGGCTAAGGGGGTGGCAGAAGGGAAATAGAGGCAGAAACACCTGTTTTAGGATTTTAGAAGCTGGTGGAGACTCACTTGAAGCAACTAATGGAGCAAGTCCCTGAGGAGAGATGAGGAACTAGAATGAAGGGTCTGATTGTTTCATGCCCTCAACAAGCTCCAGCTCCAGGATGAAGACCAACCCCCTTGGCGCAGGTGAAGAGACCTCATGAATTGACTCCTCCTTGCTGCCTCCCCAGTCTCATCATTATTCTTTCTTTCAACTTCCTACTCTTTCATTTTTTTTATGTCTCCCTTTTTCCCCCCATTGAACCCCTCCACCAGGCATCCACCCCTTCCCCCCAGGTCTTCTCCACATTATTGCCTGTGTCCATAGGTCATGTATTTATTCATCTAAGTTATTTGATTAATTCCTCCCCAACTCCCCACCCCTACCTTCCCTCTGAAATTCATCTGATTGCTCCATGTTTCTGCATCTCTCTATCTCTATTTCATTCCTTATGTGGATATTTTTAGTAATATACTATGTTAATGACACATTTATCTCCATGTAGAGAGATATATAGGGAATTTATGTTACTTAATATAGGTGTTACAGGGATTTAAAAATGAATCAAGTTTTAATTATTGTCTTCAGGGAGATTCAGTGCTGCACTTGATTAAAAGATCATATTGTTTAAATTTGTCTTTCTAATAGGAAAGTCAAAACAATGCCACCTGCGTTGAATTTGTGAACAAAATATGTGCCAATTTTGGAGTCTAATAATATACAGGGAGGGTCATTTTACCCAGCTACATTTTACTATTGTTTTTCCCTTTGAGACATAGACTGGGAGACAAATTTACATTTAAGGAGTTGAGTAGCATTCATTCACAAAGCTTTCATTTCTAAGGAGCTTGTCTTGTGAATGTATTACCTTCAGAAATGTTTGAGTTCATTGTGGTCAAATCCATAAGCCATTCTGCAGTGTAGACGCTCATACATGTTTTGCATTTATGTGTTCTAACATTTGGGGATTGAACCTTGACTTATTTTTAAATTGAGAATAGGGTTCATTTGAGTTTCTTCCAAACAGGAAAATGCAGAGGATGATTTGCTTCCTCATGTCACAAGGAAAGTCAGATTCCTCTGATGCATAAAGAGTACTCCATCTTCCTTTTCCTGGTCCTGAAATTTTCATCTTTTCTGTGGCTACCTTCCTAATGTTGTATGAACCAGCTTTCTATACTATTCTTGCCCCAGCTGCATTTTTGCAGAGTCTTCCAAAAGATCCACAATCACTTTGATATTTGATCGGCATATGAATATTTTTGAAGATAGATTTTGTTTGTATTAAACTACAAATGGTGCCACATATTATGATTTTTCTCTCCATACCTTCTGGGAAAATTATACTGTAATTTCCACGTAACTCCAAATCCTACATTTTAGTGGTGGGGTATCTAGAAAGCAGTGGCAAGAGTATAGTGCTTATCGAAAGCCCTGCCCTTGTACCCCTGCGGCATTGGCACGTAGAACCTTCCCTACAGCGGAACTAGTTTTACAACCTCAAAAGCAACCTTGGGTCCTTTTTAGGTGTGGTTTGCTGCCTCTGTAAATCAACCAGTTCCTATCCCATGTCATAGAAGCTTGACCTGCAGGGTTTGTTATTTTAATATCCACGACTCCAGGAAATAACTAGGAATTGAATGTTAAACATTGATGATCCTGCTGAAAATAAAACTTTGCCATCCTTAGTGGTGTTTGAGGTGACCATATTGGCCACGCAGAATGCTTCCCCAAACCACATTGCCTAGCCAAGTGACAATTTACCTCTTCCTGCAATGGCCTATTCTTTCCAGAAAGGATGTTCCATAAATATTTTAAACTAGCTGACCGCCTCAATGTGTTCCTGGGGAGACTCATCAACCATGATTAAATATATAAAAACCTGCTGCTACTCGTTCTAGAGTGCTTGTAAGTAGTCACCCGTATGAGAAGCAGCTCCATTGCAATCAAAGCTTGCAATTCATCTGGTCTCGTAAATGTCAGTTAGGGCTCATTCTTGAAATCACTGTTTGTTTTCTGTCTCTCTCAGGTCACAGTCACACCATTCTCTTACATCCCAGTTTCAGCTCTCTGGGGGAGGGTTGCTTGAATCTTTGAGATTCTCCCGCACAGTACTCCCAACACTGAATTTCATGTTCAATATGTTTGGAGCCTCTATTTTACTTAAGGCCATCTCAAGCATGCTATAAATTTGGTGCAGATCTGTTTAGCTGTTTTAATATATTGAGTAACAGAACCATAGAAACTCAATTACACATATACTCGCATACACATACATCTATAAATAAATATAGATGTGCAAACATGGACTCACTTTTAATGAAGTCTAGTTAAGAGCATTTACTACTCTTGCACAATAATTTCAGTAAGTTTAAAAAATGACCCATTTTCAATCACTTTTATGCATCTGAAGAGTCAGGAGTGTTTGTTACTTTAACACTTGAGGTCAAATTACCTGTCACAGAGTTGAACTTGTAAGGATTCAAATTTTAATGTACTGTCGTTGTGATGAAAGGGGGAAAGGGGGAAGGAATGGAGCTTCAAGCAAAAACAATACCTTCTATTTAATTTGATTTTCTATTAATACCAAAGAATATGAAGAGACTAAGTCATGCATATACTTTCCTGGAGCAGGGAGATTATAGAGAGAATAGCAAAGTCTGTTAGGCTTTGATAAGATTCTCCTCTCTGTTTTATGCAGGATGAATCAATGAGATACATCTCTGAGTGTTGTCCTGGAGTCCTGAATCTCAATCTGTCTAACACAACTATCACCAACAGGACAATGCGACTCTTACCAAGGTAATGTTTGTTTTATTTGTACTGCACTGAAAATAATTGTGCTCCTCTAGGCTCGGGCTTGCTCTAGCATCCCTTAAAGGCAGTGCTCATTTTACTAACACCTCCATTAGTGTGGCACTGCTATTTTGATAGCAGGGCTGCTGCTTTCAAGTTCCAAACTTGTGCCTATCTTCTTTCTTGGTGTGCCCAGGTCCTCGAATTTAACCAGCATTTTTGTGTCTCTTGTAGCAATGTGCCTAGTAGTTTGAGTTAGGCTCTGCTATCTCTTTCTGGTGTCCCTTCCTGGGCATTGAAGCCAGGACCCTAAATTCCAGTCCGGTGTCTGGGACTTCTCTACAATAGGATACCTTATACTTTGAGCACTGCATCCCAGATTCCCTGTTGCCATGCTCTAGTTACCTGTTGGGACCCCACTACCTCCAGGAAACCTAATATTGGCTGTATTTTGATGTATGGACTGTTGACAACCCTAGACACAAATGCTGCGTCTAAGCCCGCACTTTTTTAGAAGAAAGAACAGAAGAACACAAGAGTTGACAGAATATTCAAATTTATCACAAACTCATGCCATTTAATTATTCTTTATTTTCACCAAGGAAAGACTTGGAAGAGTATTTGATTATATTGGGAGAGATTCAAAAAACACTTTCAAACTATTGCGAAAAAATAAACCATTTTTAAGAGTATAATTTTTTGAGATTCTTTGAAAAATAACAATGAGACATTTGGAAAAGCTTAAATTGAAACTTCTAGGTGGTTATTCTTCTGTCTCTAACCATTTTCTGAAAATGTGCAAGCCTAAAAGTAGTGGTAAACCTTTCATTGGAAGCTTGGAATTAGCCAAAATGGAAGAATACTACACAATAGAAAATGGCAAGCATTCCAAATTAGGACTTTATTTATTTTTTTGTTGATTGCATAAACTTAATAAAATGATGGGGAAAACAATAAATGAAGCAGGTTAAATTTAAAAGTGCATCATGTGTGTAGCTGCAATATTGTTAATAGCACAAAAAATTGAGAAAATTTCATTTAATACTTGAAAACTATTATCTGATTTAGCAAAGAAGTCACATCATTAACTGGTGAGTGAAGTCTGGATATACATATGGATTTCATGTCTGTCTTACTCATAAATGTAAATAAAAATATTCATATTGGAACTATACCTGTTTCTTAATTTTTCAAACTTTATTTTTATTTTTGGGTGAAAACTAGAAATACAGCAGAGTGACAGTTTTTATTTTTCCTTTGAGCATATAGAGGACAAAAGTACAATTTACATTAATGAGTTTGGCAAAAGTCAATGAAAGCATTGCGTGAGACTTGATTGATTACATGGAATTTACAATAAGGAATATTGTGTATTTTGCTATTATTTGTAAGTTGTGTGCTACACACTTTTATATCTACAAAATAGTAAATGTAAAATAGTAAGATGTACAAATTTACAGAAAATGAATGTACATTTATATGTATAATTTTTGATGGTCCAGTTGTTAGAAATTTACTCATATGCCCATAATTAAAAATAAAATAAGAACTAATTTATATTTTTACAATATTTAGTCTTCCTATCAGGAACATAGTATATTTCTAATATTTTTTCAAATGTTCTTAAATGTCTGAATATAATTTTGTTTTATTCACATGGATAATTTTATGAAATTTATTCCTAGGTATCTTTTTAGTTGCTATTGTGAATGGTATCTTTTCGGATTATATTTTCTCATTTTATTTTCTGAATGGTCATTTTTGGACTTCGGGTATGAAGTGCAGATATCTTTTTAAACTTTTCATTTGTATGTGAATTGATTTCTCTCCTTTTATAACAAAAAGCAAGACTATGAAATTACCTCTAAATAAGAATTTAGGAAAAGCTTATAAGATTTGATAAGTATAGTTCTCATTTTCTAAACTGTTGTACATTAGATTTTCTCTTTAACCAAATAATTATCTAGAAGAGAATTTTTGGTTTCAAGTGGCTGAAGTTTCTTTTATTAAACTTCTGTTTTTAATTTCTAGCTTTGTACTCTCTGGTCAAGAAATGTAGATTGAGCCTTGGCTGGGTGGTGCAGTTGGTTGTGGGTTCAATTCCTGGTTAAGTGTGTACAGGAGGCAACCAATTGATGTTTCTCTCTCTCTCTCTCTCTGTCTCTCTCTCTCTGTCTCTCTCTCCCCCTCCATCCCTCCCTCCCTTCCTCTTTCTAAAATCAATAAACATATCCTGGGGTGAGAATTAAAAATATATATATTTTTGATTTAAAAAGAAATGCAGATTGAATTTTTTCTGCTTTTTGGAATTTATTGAGATTTGTTGGTGGAGTAGTTTATATAATCAGTTTTAGCAAATCATCCATGAATGTTTAAAATGAGAGAGTTTCTTTTAGAGAATATTTTTCTGTGTGTGTATGTGTGCATGTACATCTCAATTCTTGATATGTCATAGTATAATAGTGACATATTAGTCTCCGATTATAATCAAGATTTCCTTAATTTATTTTAATATTATTGTTTTGTACATAAAGATTCATAAGTAGTATGTTGCATTATCAATTTATTCACACAAAATTATATTCTTTATTCTGGTCAATTTTTTTGGTCTCGAATTCTTTTTTTTAATCTGCTATTAGTACAGTCACATTTGTTTTCTTTTGCTTGTGCTTTTGTGGGCTAGCTTTATGTATACTGGTATTTTTAACCTTTGTGCCACTGGATTTTGGGTTCGTCTTTATATGCAGCATAAAGCTAACTTCTATTTGTAAATTTTCAGTCTCTTTGCCTTTTTAAGAGGGTGGTTTAAAAGATTACTATTTCTTGTCAAAATGGAATGTATTTTTATTTTTATCATCTTGTTTTATGTTTTTTATTTTAAAATTTTTATGTTACTGTACTCACCACTTCTGCCTTTTGCTACATAAACTGTTGTTTACTTTAATAATCTAAAGGTATTTCAAAAGTATGTACATGTTCTGTTGTATGTTCTAGCTAGTGGTTGTTTGCGTGTTTTTTAAGAGGATGCTTTAACATGTTCTCTGATAATTTTCTCTGATTATCGAAGTTACAATGAAACAATGACTTTGACTCCCCCTGTGTTAGACAAGGGCTCTAACATGCTTTACTTCTCCCTGTACTTGATGCGCCTCCATTTCCACTCCCCTGTATATAAACACATATTAATCATAATTTTTGTTAATCATTTAACTTCCTCTTAATGTTGATTTTTGGCATTTGTACTCGATAATGTAATCATATTTGTAATGATTATGTAGTCCTAACTCTAGTTTTGATATTCATTGATGGTCCATTTGTTCCACAATTTTCTTATTCTTTGATTTTTATTTCGATTTATTCTATAATAACTGGAAATAGCCTGGCTGGCATGACTCAGCAGTTGAGCATCGACCTATGATCCAGGCGATAGAGGTTCGATTCCTGATCATGGCACATGCTCCTGTTACACGCTTGATCCCCAGTGGGGGTCATACAGGAGGCAGCCAATCAATGACTCTCTCATCATTGATGTTTCTGTCTCTCGGCCACCTTATCCCTTGCTCTCTCTGAAATCAATAAAGATATATTTTTTAAAAAAATAACTGGAATTATAGCTCTAAAAACTCTTAATCTGGGAAGATGTGCAAGTGTTAGATTTGCAGCCATTGCTTTCTGAAAATGACTTTCTATTGGCTTGGAGAATGAATAACTTCTTCTCTTGGTGTGTAGTTCTTGAACCATGGCCCTGGTATTATCCTTAAAACCCTACAAACATCGTTTCATAATCTTGAGATTTCTGGTTAAAGAGAAGTCTAAAGTCAGCTTGATTTTTTGTTCCTTTGTTGGTATCCTATTTTTTTCTGCCAAGATGCTTGCAAGAAATTCTTTTTCTCTGAGAAATTAAAAACATTTTCCAAGTTTAATTGTGTTCTTTCAATTAATTTTCCTGAAACATGGTAAACCTTCTGAACATTAAAGCTTAGCTCTTTTCTCAGCCAAGAAAGGTATTTTTCTTTATAATGCTTCTATTCCATTTGTTCCAGTTTTAGCTTAAGAATCCCCTTTTATATTTAGATAGAATTTTTATTCCTGTCCTTCAAAGCTGTCATCTTCTCTCTCATTTTTATCTCTATATACATTTCCTCAGCATACTGTATTCGCTATGTCAGTAGCTCTCAAAGTGTGTTCCAAGGATAGCAGTATTCAGTAAATGTTTAATAACTGGCTAGGCTATGGGGAAAGGGGATGTTCTAATTTGTAGAGTTTGCTGATTTCTGTGGTGTAAATACTTCCACCATGGCCAGTTTTAAGCTACCAACATGATGTCACTGAATGTGGAGTTGGGAAGAGATGCTCAACAGGTTCTCATGAGCTGGAGTTCCATAAGGTTCTCTAATCCTAGGAAACATCACTCACTACTTTTCTCTAGACATTCCATATTAAGCTATATGTTGTATGAATATATGTGCATGTATGAATGTGTAAGTGGCAAAAAAGATAGAAAAATGGACCGAAAGTTAGAATTTTGTTGTGATTTTAACTTTCACTTCTTGCTATTGAGAGAACATTTAGAGTAAATGCTACTCAATACAGATGTGTGTGTTTATCACATGAGAAAAATGAACACTGACTTTCTTATCTATGATGAAAATACATTTCATGATTCTCTATTTTTGCTTTGTTTTCCACTGTTTCAAACATGCTTAGGTATGACCAAAGTGCTCTTTAAGCTATAAATAAGCAGAGAAATATTGTTTGTTCCTGCTGTCATTCTCTCTTCAGTGCCTTTAGTATTTCTTTCCAAAGAAATTATTTGCCAGAAGAAAGATGTAATTTGTTTGCCCTTCTTGGCAACATTGATTTGCCAGTTTTTTATTTGAATATTTTTTCTCACTTGGATGGAGACTTGTTCAGTTTTCTAAAGGTGAAAATGAGGGCTACCCACAGCTCATGCCCATTCCTGGACATTTTTTGCTTCTAAATATATCCTGAATGAAACCCTTTCCTTTTATGCCCATTGCCAGCCACAACCTAGGTGGCACACTCTGCACTTCATCTGGCTCAGCATCCTGATGGTTCAGCCTCTGGTCTCTTTTCCCTTCAGTCTGCTTTGCCTTAGGCTGCAAGAAGTTTCATCCTGGAACAATAGTCTTACCATGTCTTTGACATGCTTGAAGTCTTGACTCTTTCCTTACTGTCCCTTCACATTATCTAATCAAATTTATCCGCCCAGGTTTCCCAAGGGAAGTGCTTAACTCTGGTCATCTGATTGCCACATGCTTCTCTTTCTCCACAGATGGAATGCCTTTCTCCTTGTCTGTGCTAATTCACAGCCTTTACACCTCAAGTTATACCATCTACCAGAAGTCTACAGTGGTTTCTCCTTTCCTTGGATTCTAATAGCAACATTCATTCACTTATTCACCACATATTGATGAACTTACTATGTGTGAGGCATTCTAGCAAACAGGGTGATTAAAGCTATTATGATCTTTGCTCCTTAATGGACTATTATATGCTCTGGTGGCATGGGGTCTCATTATTTTTCATATAGGTGAATTGATCTTTCAGTTGGCTTGGAAACTTCTTATTGGCAGGCATTCTCATGCTGTATAGTCTCACCAGTGCTCAGCAGTGTGGGGCAGAGAGGGGAAGCTGTTGCCTGGCTGGACTGGACGTCCCAAGGTCTAAGGAGTAAATAGGAGGTCATATCACCACACTTGGATTTTCTGTAGAAATTCTATCATGCAAAACTGCCTCTGTGAAACTAAAGAGCCCAACACTCAATTCAATAGAATCCACATGTAAATCCTCTCTTTTACAGACTGGGCCTTGTCTTGGTGATCTTTCAGAGAAACTTTAGGTAAAATACATTGTAATTCTACACTCTTTCCAGTAGTAACTGCTTCAAGTATTGGAGATCTAACACAGAAGGCCTCAATTCTTTAATGGAAAAAAGCCAGAAGAATGGAGAAAAAATTATTTCTGTAGTTTCTATAAGAATTGTGATCTCTTAAAGACTGTGGTAACAGTAGAAAAATAAATAACAAAAAGAAACCCTCCCCTTACATAGGAAAATTTTAGTTATCAAATAATTAGGAAAAGATAAACACAGACTGCAAACATTGCCTCAAAGAGGAATTTGAATTATAAAGTTGTTTCTGGGTTCGGAAAACTGTGATCCAGATCTTCCTCATATAAGGGACACATTTCTTTGCCAAAATTCAAAATAAAAAGTAGCAGTATTGCATAAAATTTGCCAAATGCAATTTCATTGTCAATTGATACTTTTCCCTTCCTCAGCAGTTTCAAATCTGCAGCCCTGTAAATCCCTAGAAAGGCCTACATGGCCGCTCAAGATTTCTGTACTTTGCTTTCAAACCAATGGTTCCCATGAGGTTCCACTTTGAAGAGAGCCATCTAGAGACTTTCAACCTGGGAGTCATTTTCTCTAATGAACACCTCTACTGCCAGACACGAAGTTCTTAACCTGGGGCTAGTGGATCCCCCAAGGGGACCAGGGATAAAATACAGAGGTTCCATGAATTTTGATGGGGGGGGGGCATCTCTATTTTCACTGAGCTCTAACTGAAATGTAGGAAAAAATCAGAGTAGTAACAGCCGCCCCTTTCAACCTCCTATGGGACTCTTTCAACCATATGAATCACAAATATTTTCTTATTATATTTGTTACAAATATTTCAAAATATCATTGACACCACTACTTCAAAATCATAGTAGTTGTTAGATCTCTACTAGATCATATAAAAAATATTTTAATAATGACTTTCAACATGATTGGCTGCTTTTGTAATCTTAAGTATTTTATTTTATGCATTAGTAACATTATGCTGACAAAGGATCCATAGATCTGTATGGTATCTGACACACAAAAACTTAAGAACTCCTAGCTCAATTCTCATTTTTTTTATTTGATAAGTGATCACATGGACTTTAAGAAATTGAAGAATAGGCTTGGACCAGGTTTAAATATATTTGAATACTCATGATTTTGTAAGAAATAGTTTCATTACTATAGTTAAATAAAGACTAATTGATAAACAGAGCTGAAAAATGGCATAAGATGAACTGTTTGCAAATGAGTAAGCAACACATGAGAGGAGTAAAAACTACAATCGAGACTGTCAGTCAAACTGGAGCTGAAACCAATTAAATATGGCATTACTATCATGACCAAAATGAGGGTGTAGATGCAATGTGAGTTCCCCAAACTCTTAGAGTCAGTTTTATGCACCACTTTTGTAAGATGAGTATCTGTTCCATTAAGGTGGTGTACAAGCTTCATAAGAACAATTAATATGTTATTTGAGGTAGTAGCAATAACAATATATATATTTAAAGCCTCTACTGTATCCTTGCTGTTTTTATTTATTTTATTTTATTTTTTAAAATTTATCTTTGTTGTTGAAAGTGTTACAGATGTCCCTTTTTTCCTATTGACCTTCACCACACTATTGTCTGTGTCCATGGGTTATGCATATATGCATATAAATTCTTTGGTTAATCTCTCCCCATCCACCCCACCTTCCCTCTGAGATTCGTCAGTCTGTTCTATGCTTCTGTGTCTCTGGATCTATTTTGTTCATTGGTTTATTTTGTTCATTAGATTCTACATATGAGTAGATCATGTGATACTTCTCTTTCTCTGACTGGCTTATTTCACTTATCCCTCCTGTTTTTAATTCTCAAAAATCACCCTCAATATAATACTATTACACCTATATTCTCATGTAATTGTCACATCTCTAAGAGGAAAGAGCAGAAAGGATTACATCCATATTAAAGATGAGAAAATGAACCTCAGGAAAGCTGGAGGCCCACAGTTAGTCAGGGTTAAAAAAATATATATTATTATCTCCACTTAACAAATACAGAAACAATCTCTGAGAGGTTAGGGAAGTTGCAGTAAGTGTGAGGGCTGGGATTTGAATCTAATTTGGTCAGATTCCAAAACCTTACATATTTTCCATTGTGTCCTGCTTGTCTCACTACTCCTTTCTCTGAATTAGAGAGCTAAAGGGTTGTTAGAAATGACATCCACCCCCCCAGCTGAATCACAAGGGTATACTCCAAGGAGAGGAAAATAAAGCATTTCCAAAACTTTGGCATAGTTCAGTTAACTGAAGGGACCCACGAGAGAGGATGTGTCTTTGGGATGTTAGTGCTGCTTTTCCTTCACAGCCCTGCCCACCCAGCCGCTGGGGAATCCAGAAGGCGGCCCTGTTTGTTCTGTTGAATCTCATAGACACAGCAATTACCAGAGGGAATCTGTGTTCTGAACCAAATGATTTTCTATGGAATGGAAATCATCACATCATATACATGTGTTTTTCAAATTTTAGGAATAAATTTGATTAATGGTCAATGCTTGCAGATCTTATTTCCCATTTATGTGAAGGTAAATTTTATTTTTCATTTGTGGGCTTTTGCTGGACACAGAGGCATCTTCTTTCACTTTTGTTCTTTTTTTCTTTTTCATTTGCTGTTAAACTGTTGCAGATCACAAATCAAGAGCATGTTGTTAATTTCATTACAAGAGCAGGCAGTAGTGGGAGTTCTTGTACTTTTAAAAAATGCCAGGCTAAAGAAAGTCTGGAAAGTCCACTGAGTGTCCTCAAACTGTGAGCCCTTGCATGGTAGTGGAGGTTTGTCCTAATTACCTTCCTTTTTTCTGGAAGCTCTCATTTTGGTCATGGTGGTAATGCCATATTTAATAGGTTTCAACTCCAGGGAGACTGACAGTGCTGCCCACCCATTTGCAGACTGTCCTTCTTAACCCATTTTTAAGCTCTGTATATCAATTAGTCTTTCTTTAACTACAGTTATGAAACTTAGAAAATCATGCATACTCAAATTTGATTTTTCAAAGCATTTGCTGATCATGTCCATTTTAAGAGCCTGTTGTGTTCAACTTTGCCTCCTTTCTGCCCAAATCCTCACTCTCATGTAACAGCTAATCGCCATTTAAATGTTTACAAAGGGTTTGTATTTCTAGACATTTTGCACATTACTTTGGTGCCTCACAGATAAAACCTAAAATGCAACAATAATGCAAACTCTGTAACTTTGCTTTCAAGCACAAGCTAACTTCCAAACAATATGAATGCACAAACCTCCCTGCCCCCAAAGCTTTATCTCAATCAGCTTTCTTAAAAATCTAGGCACATCTTTATTTTCATTTGAAATGTAATTAGGCATTATCTGATATGTTACTGCAGTCTCCTTTACTTAACAGGAAGAGAATTAACAATAAGGTTCAACTGTTGAACATTTGCAAGGAGAAAAGATTAATTTACAGTTTTACTTCTCTTTGTCATAGTGGCTTAAGAAAGATGTGAGAAAACAGCTATATTCACTTTCCTTCCTCTCTCCTCTCACCCTGTCTTTTCAGGCACTTCCACAATTTACAGATTCTTAGTTTGGCTTACTGCAGAAAGTTCACAGACAAAGGTTTACAGTACCTGAGTTTAGGGAATGGATGCCACAAGCTCATCTATTTGGACCTTTCTGGCTGCACCCAGGTTTGTCTTTTCAGTCTTCTCTTTCCTGCAGCAGGCAAGGAAGTCCTCCGGAGAACGGGCTACATCCAGTCCTCATGTTATACTAACGCTGTGCACAGACTGCAGCACACTTTTCAGAGGTTTTAAATTACATGGCCACAGCTGCTTAAATTTTCCCCAGGATTGCTACTATAGGCCCTTGGCTTCCTTCCACTGGGGTGTCACATCCACACACAGGCAGAGCTCATTGGATGATGAAACAGACCACTTCTGTGTAGATACTCTGAACAGTTATAATGCCAGAGTCCAAATCTTGAAATTTTAGAAATGCTACCAAGATAAAAACAAAGCAAACTTTTTTGAGGGAGAATTTGCAAGCAGCTTTCTGAAAAGTCAATTAGCTCCCACATGGGCTTTCAAAGAGTAAATATACTTCAAGTGTAAGAAAGGAAATACAACAAAGATTGTAATTTTAAAAATTGCATTATGTCCTTAGGCTAAATAACATGCAGATTTGAGATCTATACGGGGAAATATTTAAGTATGAAAGAACAGACTGAAGAAATTTGGGCAGAAAATTAGGTGGAGGGTAGGACATGGAACTCTGGAAATAGGTGCTGCCTCATTGATAGTTTCTTCCGCTCTATTTTGGTAAATAATTCTTTTCACTTCTTTTCTGTGTATTTTACTGATTTAGTATCATAGTATGTTCATTCTATACTATAATAGCACAGATGAGAACTGGATGAAATATTGATATTTATCTTTTATTGAGCTACTATATGCTAGGCACCATATTGAGTGCTTTACATAGATCAGATTTACTCCTCATACAAATGCTGTGTAGTATGTGTTTATGATGCCCATTTAGAAATAAAGAGACCAAGGTTCCCAAAGTTGCACAGCTGATAAGCACCTGTTGGTAATACCTGGGTTTCATAGTTACTAGACAGTGGGGAGGACATAGGGGAAGGGAGAAGAGGACTCTGAGCTAGGGCAGAGACATCTAGAATTGACATTTTTAATGATATAATGATGTGTAACTGAATAACATCTACCATCACTCTCATGACCCAGATGGTTTTACCGCCAGCTTGACTAAACTTTAGACAGGCTTCTTTCTGAGTCTTAGCCCCTAGCCTCCTTTTTCTTAGAGCACTTATTTACTTTAGAAAACTTGCAGTTGTACATTCTTTTTCTGTTCCCTTTAAGGTGTAAACCTAAAAAGCGTCTTGCCAGTTTTATAACCCAGGACAGCGTTTCTAAAGTACCTGGAAGCCATGCTTTGAAATGTAATCGTCAAGGGAGATAACACCAGTATCTCCCAGTCTCTATGGGAAGATAGGAGCCTAACTTTGATATGGGTCCATTAGCAAACACAGATGGCCTAATCACAGAGAAAAATATTTGCAAATTCAGGAATACTTCTATGTGCTTGACATATCCCATTGATTGTGCTTTTCCCTAAATATACATCTTCTGATTCTTTCCACTACCTCACTCCATGCTTAAAAATCCTCCCCTAAAGTGTGACTTACCTCCTTGTTCTCAGTTTTCATGAGGTAATTAATGTAGCAACAACACACAATACATATGACACACAAATACACGTAGACATGTCTTAAGGATAAATTTTCTCAGACAGTAAAGTTGACACTTTACCCAGCAAAGCTATCATTCAGAATCAAAGGACAGATAAAGAGCTTCCCAGTCAAGAAACAGATAGAGGAGTTCATCACCAGCAAACCAGTAATACAAGAAATGTTAAAGTGCCTTCTTTAAGAAGAAGAAAAAATAAAAAAAGATAAAAAATGAATAATAAAATGGCAATAAATACATATCTATCAACAATTACTTTAAATGCAAATGGATTAAATACCCCAATCAAAAGATATATGGAGGCTGAATGGATAGCAAAACAAGACCCTTACACATGCTGTCCACAAGAGACTCACTTCAGATTGAAAGACACACACAGACTGATAATAAAGGGGTGGAAAAAGATATTTCTATGAAAATGGAAACAAACAAAAAAAGCTGGAGTAACAATACTTGTACCAGACAAAATAGACTTTAAAACAAAGGCTATAACAAGAGACAAAGAAGGACCCAGCAATTCCACTTCTGGGTATTTATCTGAAGAAACCCAAAACACTAATTGAAAAGACATATACATCTATATGTTCATTGCAACATTATTTACAATAGCCAATATATAGAAACAATCTAAATTTCCATCAATAGATAAGTGGATAAAGAAGTGGTGCATATATACAATGGAATCTGACTCAGCCGTAAAAAAGAATGAAATCTTGCCCTCTGCAACAACATGGATGGAACTAGAGGGTATTGTGCTGAGTGAAATAAGTCAGACAGAGACAAATATCTTATGATTTCACTTATATGTGGAATCTAAAAAACAAAATAAACAAATAAACAGAACAGAAAAAATCCAAACATTCAATAAGAATAAGTTGTCTCTATTATCATATATCCTGGTATATAATGTAATTATATACATATTACTGCACAAGCAAATTTGCAATATCCTGAAATCTTAAAGTTCATATAAGAAGATTTATAGAGGTATTCCCAAATTTAACATTATAAAATTTTACATGACATTACTTATAATAAAGAGTGATGTTAAAAGAAGCTTTCCTATACTATCAATTTAAAAGTTTTGATTAATCTTTCTAGAGGGAAGACAATTATCTTTTTATTTCATATGTAAAAAATATTACAGAATATCAAATTGTTACATAAAGAGCCCATCAAAGGGTGTGTAGCTAAAAATGGGGATAAAAGTATTACAAAGGTGTATTAGTAAGTTAATTAATAAACTATAATATCCTAAAAAGAAAAGTTGAAATGAGAAGTTTCAAATCAGTGACCCTCTGGCTAGATTGTGTGCAAAACACACATCGTCTCTCTTTACATTTTGAGGCAACATTTATTATGTTGGAGTTTTCACATAAAAATCTGGACTTCAAACTTCTCCTAAAAAACTGGAAGAACTGGCAAAATGGGGCCTGCATTCCCATATGGCATCAGTGGGCTGGAGCTGAGTCAGCCTCACCTCCTTGAGACAGAGCATGCTCCCCTGTTTGACTGACATCCTCTCCTCTACGCAGTAACGTCTATACATGCACTTACACCTAGACTGCTACCACTTAATTGCATAGCCTACCTGTCCTAGGCAGCTTTTGAGCTTGGTCTGAATGTATAAAGAATAGATTTATTTTCTTGATTGTCCCTTAATTTATAAGTTTCAAGCCACAGAGAAATTAGTATTTCACATCATTATGCAAAACGATGTTGGTTTATTTTTTTCATTCTTCTTCCATTTTCATTTGTTCATTTAATAATTTAACAGAGGTTTAGCTCTAGGTGTCAGGCACTGTTTCAGGCACTGGAAATCATACCATTTAAAACTGAGCCCCTTGCCCTAGACCATTTTGCTCAGTGGTTAGAGCATCTACCTGCAGACTGAAGGGTCCCAGGTCCAATACCTCGGTTGCAGGCTCAGTCCCTGGTTAGGACATATGCAGGAGGCAACCATCGATATGTCTCTCTCACATAGATGTCTCTTTCTCTCTCACTCTCCCTCCCTTCCATTTTCTCTGAAAACCAATGGGAAAAGTATCCTCAAGTAAGGATTAAAAACAAAATTTAAAAATTAAAACTGAGCCCCATTAGGCCCACTGGGGTTAAGAAATGAGCTCATTATTAACCACAGATATCTTTAAAATGGCTGTTGCTGTAGCTGCAGAAAGAGTAGGTGAAGTTGGATGTTACTACTCCAAAGGACTTCAAGTCCTTTGAGGATACTCTCTCCACCTCCTCAGCTCTGGGTGTGAGAATAGTTTTACTCCTTCATTGATATGACAGCCCAAAAATGGTTTCAAAGAAGGAAAATTGACAACTCACAGAGTTTCCAGGTTCTCCCCTTGGAAACTGAAATTTATTTTCTTTTTTATGCTGGAAATTTTGCAGTGTGAAGTCATGTATTAATATATCTAACCAAGAAAAAAGGTCCTAATAAAACAAAAGACTTCAGAGTAGAAGCTAACAACTAAATGCTTTTCATTGGTATTTGAGTGCTTGCTGAGCACTGGGCACTGTCTTCAGCATTCCTTTCTTCTAGGAACTCTGGATTAACATAAATGAAATATGTCAAGGGCTAAGCTTTAACGTAGTCACAGCTGCCCCAAAAAGGAAAGATGTATTTATACAACATTGTGAAAGAATTTTAACCATACTTATTTGAAAAAATAAATAAATTGATAATGGAGAATTGCAAGGAAAAGTGAAAATCAATTACATATATTTTAGAAATATTTTGCATTCTTTTGGGACTGGATAAACGCTGTAGATGCTGTAAGTAATGTGACCAATTTCCTAACAAATACTACCACTTACAGCTGCACCTGCATGTCATCATCTTTGATGTGGTTGAGGCGATGCCTCTGCTCAGTTTCTCCTCCTCAAAGAAGCCTCTGCTCACACTCAGCCCTAAGTCAGGATAGGGCTCTCCAGCGTGCTCTTTTGCTATCCATTGCAGACCTCTAACCATATACTTGTCATCTTGAATTTTCTGTTTCTTTTTTTCACTTAAAAAAAAATTGCTTTTTTTTCTTGTTCCATGTTAAACACACATATACACAAAGAGAGAAAAGAAGAAAAAAATTTAAGTTACCTAAAAATTTACCACCTAGAATTAATAAACACTATTAGTAAAAAAGCATTTTGGTCTCTTTTCTATGCAGACTTATATTCTTTTAAACTAAAATAGATTATATAGTACACATGTCTTTCATTTATTATTCTATAAAGTAAACATCTATTTCATAAAATATTTTCCTCTAACTTTTAATAGCTACATAGTATCTCATTGTACCAAAGCACCAATATGTATTTCACTTTTCATTACTGGCCTACAATAACAAAATATTTTGCTATCAACATTAACCTGTGAGGAAAATTCTTGCAGCCATATCTTTGCATAGCTATGCAATTTGGGGGTACAAGTTTTTAGAAGTGAAATGAGCAGAGGATATAGTTATTTTTAAGACCATCCATATTTTACAAAGGTAGTCAACTTATTACCATAAATGTAGAA